GTTCCCCATTTCTAAAATATCCCTCTTCTCTCCTGTAAACTCCTGCTTCTCTACTGCTTTTGTTAGTTCTAGTATCTCATCTACAGGAATAAGCAGCTAACAGGAACCTCCCTTACCCCAGTCATATGTAAGGTCAACAAGATGAACATTTTGATTTTTTTTCTTCCTTTTAAGAAGACTTCAGCCACAAAGTGCTCTCTCTCATTCGTGACATAGAGTTTCTGTGCTTCTTAACCTTTCCTTTCTCTATGTCTGGCCCTAAGGTACATTCTACTGTTCATGGGGGTTGTTTTACTTTGCCTTGCAAACCTATTATGTTCCCTCTGGCAAGCTTTTTTTTCCTCCTGCCTCTCTCCCTGCATGTGCCACTCATGTTGTTTTCATGATGCAGCTTATTAGCTTTAGGTTTGGGTGGCTGCTCAGCAGACGCTAAAGCATACATCTGCAGCACCTGGGTAGAGCAGTGTATTAGCTTCAATATACTTTCCAGCTGCCAGCTTTTCATAGGGAGCTTATTATAAAGGAATGGAAGTCTCCTAGATTTTGAGGGGGATTGCCACTTCGAAGTGGTGATAACTTTGGGTTTCCCTGTATCTACACTCTGTAGTTTCCTGACCTATGATCAAAATGTAACTGTTAAATTCAGAATCATGCTAATTTCCTCCTTTGACAGCAGATCATTTTTCCAGGTTTTTTTCTTTACTTTCCATTGTCCATACAAAAAGATTTTCTGCAGTCCAAGGGGAAAAAACCCCCTGTCTTGTTTGTCAAACTAGCTCTAAGCCACTTCTGCCACTCCTTCTCATAATGAGTAAAATCTTGGTCTCTCAAGAGTACCACTGAAATGAACAGTACTGCCTAATGAGTAAAGTACTACTCAATGGGCATATCTACACTGGCAATTAATTTGCAGTAATAAACTCCAGTGCATATCATGCCAGAGCTTATTGCTCCCAGGTACCACATTTGAATGTGTACCTGGGACCACAGCATGTTGATCCATGTTGGAGCAGCCTAGGCTGGCAAGGGACCTGGCCAGCCTGCCAGCCCGTGGCTGCTCCAGCCTGGCTCAACATACTGTGGATGGGCTGGATGGGGCATGAGGGTGCTCCAGTGCAGGGCTAGCCAGAAGGCAGCTCCTGTGCTGAAACACCCTTGTCCCCCAGCCAGTGGGGGCAGTGTCTATATCTGTGTTGCGGTGCACTAAAAAACTCTGCCACGGGATAAGACTCGTATTTACAGACTGTTCTGCGGTGGAGTTTAATAGTTTCCTGTGGCTTATTAGGGCTACATGTGTAGATGCTGAGATGTTTACCGTGGACCTAATTAGACAGCTCTGCAGTAAATATCTTGTGTACTTGTGCCCAGTGCTACTAATGGTATCAGAATCCCACTCTTATAAAACTATTAAACAGTGGAGCATGGAATAAAGATGATGTCTGGCTTAATTAATAAATAAAATAATATTATGTACATATAGTTCTGTACATGTTCCAAATACTGTACAAATATTAACTACAGTAATTAATCTGTAATTAATTAGAGTAACTCCTAATTAGGGTAAATAATGATGCATCTCCCTCTGGAAGTACAAAACGGGTTCTGTGAAATGAAAACAAATAACTACTCTCAGTAGACGGCATCCAATTTAAACTGCCACCAACATGAGCTAAGAGAGTCCTGGGCATCCAGAGGGTTCTAGACCCACAGACTTTCAGCATGACCTTGGGCATCTCTGCGCCTCAGTTTCCCAATGTGTAAAATGCACCCCTTGTTGAATTGTTGCAACGATGCTCCCTTTGTTGTAAAGATGTTGTGAGGCATTATCCATGAATGTCTGTGAAATGGCTCTGAGATGGAAGAGTGATGTATTACTAATGTTTTCAGAAAAAGCAGAAGCTCCTGCTGTGCAAATCCTACAGAGCAAACTGAGTAAGAATGTCCAATAGCTATCTTATGTAATTCTCCTTTTTGTTTCATTATTGTTCTTTCAATTCACTGATACAGAAACTAACTCCTGGCAACTCCTTTGGTCATTGGTGCTGAAAGGCACAAAGTTTAACAGTAGTTTGGGAGATATCTTGCAAGGCATAAACCTGTGTGGAAGAACCAACCATGGGAAAGATGCTTAGCTAGTGCAACTCAGTGCAGCTCTACTACTTTGGATGAAGCTGTGCTGATTTATATCAGCCGAGCATAAGTCGCTCTCCATGAAATCTGTCAAAGCTCAGGAAATCCCCAGCTATTTATAGACACCAAGCCACCTCCTGCAGTCTCTCATGAATATTTTTACTCAGGCAATTGGCAATCCCTAACCACATCCCAGAGAATTTGTTGGTCTGTTTCATTTGGATGAGATGGAGAGGTACGTTGAAGGAACAAGGGCTTTGGGGGAGAGTGGAAGAGTAAAATACACCACAAGCATTGTTTTTTTTTTTTTTGCTGGTTAACACACTTTATATTTAACAAAATAATTTTTAATAATATATTCTTTTACACATCAAATATTGTTGCTAGAACCCCATTTTTTTACAGTATAGTGTTTTTTTCACTAGTTTTCAGGCACGCTATTGTTTAAAGATTTTGAAACTGGCTAGTCATTGACAGGCGTCAGCTTTCAAATAAGTGTGATGATCCCTTATTTAATAGTAGCAGTTAAAGTACCTGGGCCAGATCCTTACCTGGAGTGAATCAGCTTAGGTGTTATCAAAGGAGTTCTGCTGACTGACACCAGTTGAGAATTTGGCCCTCAAAAATTAAAAAAAAATGGGGAAGAAAGAAGAACATAGAGGCAACAGTCTGGTTGTGAACAGAAGTTCTGATCCTGTTCCCACTGAAGACAAATAGACAAAAAGTTGGATCTTCAACTAGGGTACACTGATTTCAGTCAGACTATGCTCATTATACCAGCTTGAGGGTCCAGCCCTAAGTATTTGTCATTGATTCTAATAAGGACAATTAATGGGCTGAAAGATTTAACAAAATCATAATAACAAAAAATGCAAACAAATCATAAGCAATGACTTTAAAGACTCTCTCAGTAACTTTGTTGTAATAGAGCTATAAAATGATATCACCCCTTTGAGTAGTTCCATCACAGTATTGGCTCATGTCTCCAGCAAGATAAAGGGACAGGTGTCAGTGCTACAAGGTCTTAAGAAGAAGTAGCTTGCAGTGAAACTCCATGAAAAGACTCTCTGGCTGGTAACAGTAGCTCTTCAATAATTCATAGGACACTATGCATCATGACTCCACTAGAGGTTTTCTTTTACGTATCAGAATCCAACCTTATCATTTATTTTTTATTCCCAGGACTGTGAATTCTGAAGGCAGCACTTGGCTACTATCAGATACCAGATAGCACATCTCTATCTTTCCATGAGTGGAAACAATGGAATGACTCTACTTTGTGTAGATATGAATAAGTCATGCAGGGGTGCTCACAGCTGATTCACAGTTGCGCAGCATGACTTACTAGCCACAACAGCTATAGGCTGATGCTCTACAGAAAGTTCTCTTCTTGTTCTGCAGGATGATGACAGTCAGGCTATTTGCACTGGAAGGTAAACATTGTACTGAAGGACCATGAGGACAAGATCCTCACATTATTAATTTTAGGAATAGCTATTCTCTCTTGATAGAACTAGGTGTTCTGAAGAGGGAAGACAAACTATTCGAATATCTGTGGAACACATTGAAATCCTATTGTTCCACAAATGATCCCACTGGCTTCAGTTGAAGCAGCTGGCTTCCTAAAGGAAGTTATTACTCAAGCACGGGCATAAGGTCATAATATAACCTTGTATGCAGAGCTCCCTTATAAATCTGGGGAAAACTCTAACTGAGCCTAGTTCAGTGGTGCTACATGTTGTACACCAAACTTCTCTAAGCCCTATCCAGCTTCCACTGAAGTCAATGGAAAGGCTCCCATGATACATTTGCATGTAGATGTCACATATTCAACATCAATCATCTACTTCTAGAATGGTATCAAGCATCATGGTCATTTCTTTGGAGTACCTGAGTTCCTTAACCAGAATGAGTTTTATGTTGCAGGGCTTGTGGTGGGGTGATGAAGAGAGGTGGGTGAAAAGTGAAGGGATCCTTAGTAGGGGTTTGGGTGGCAAAATGTCTTGTCTACTGTCCATACATAGGACAGCAGAATACACTAAGCAGCAATTCATATCTTTATGTTATTAGGGACATGGGTTTAACTTGCTCTATGATGTCACAAGTCATCCACTGGTACTTTTTTGCCTGTCTTCCAGGGCAGTTTTACTAATTATATACTTGGATCTTAACATGTTTAACTTGCACCTTTTCCAGTGATGTAAATCATAAAGAAATGACCAACAAACAGAGCTCTGGAAATTCCACTGGCAGCTGATTAGAGAGATATGTTTAATTCCATCTTTGTTGTGGAAACAGTTGAGCAAATCTTGATCTCACTGAACTCAATTGAAATGTCATTGACTTCAGTGGTATCAGTGCTTGGCACTGATACTGTATAGGATGAGGAGCTATAATGGCACAGTCACAAGGTAAACTCAGACATAATTCAGGGAAACTGCATATTTAAGCCAACTCATCTCAGAAGCCAATGCTGATCAGACTAACTGTGGATCTACTTACCTTGGCTCCAGGGTTTATGCTACCAGAACTTACAGAGGGATAAACTAATCATTGGTGTAAGCCAGTAGTTGCACCAGGTATAAATGTAGAAGTGTATTACAGGCAGCCCATAATAAAGAGACTGATGAATGTTGGTTGGTAACAAATGTTGCACATGTTTTATCTTAGTTTCTGAACCTATTATGTGTTATATTTAAAATTATTTTGTTTGTGTTTCCCATGATACCAATGGAACCAAATCCATCCACTTAACAACGCTAGTATCTTTTGTTGGCTTGACTGATGATTTAAGTGTATCAGTTGTGAATATTGTGTTGAATTCTTCATATTGATTATCCCTACTCAGTGGAGAAAACATAACACAGACAGATTGCTCCTAGGGTGTCCAATCACTGTGTATCTGTGCATCTAGCAAGTTGTATTACCGTTTCCTTTTTCTTTTAATTTAATTCCTCCTTCCCTCCCTCCCTCAGTGTCTTTTTTAGTACCATTAGTCATTCAAAATGATTTGTTCTTGTTTCTCTCCTAATCTTACTACCTGGACAATTCTGGCTGTGCAAATTTTAGGAAAATACTAAAAATCACAGCAGAAAAAAAAATGCAGTTCATATTGTAGGAAGTGATGAAAGAGCCGTAAGTTAATTGGCAGGTTGGAGGCATCACCAGTGGAGGAATTTGTATAAGTATTTTCCTTTCAAAAAACCAGTTTTTGAGTCCTCATCAAGCACTGGTGCTTACAAAAGCAGAATAGTTATTTAGATACTGTATATATATTCTGTATAGCAAAAGAACGAGAAATTGAGAGAGGGAGAGAGAGAGATTGAGAGAGAGAGAGAGAATGAGAGACAGAACTTTCTTGTTAGTAAAATATTTACTTTTGTTAACCCTAAAAGGTTTTGCTGGTGACCCTTTTACAGCTGGCAGGAGGTTTAACATGTGCAGTATAGAAGCCATTACATTTTTTTATGGACTTGTCATTGGTTGGGATTTTGCCTCTATGCAGTCTGCTTGCCTTGGCATTCACGTTTTGAACACTGAGCAGGTTTCCACCAGTCCCCGTTGTGACAGTGACAGATGTTACACTCATCCACTTTCACTTCAATGCCAGCCGGAATTATTGTGGTTCCTGCAAAGCAGTTTGGACCTGGAAACACACACAGAGATAAATAAATACATTAAACTGGGAAAAACACATGGTGGATCTGAGAGAGAGATAACTGTTTGTGAGCAGGGAGTCAAATGAAGCACAGCCTCCCAAAGTGTTACCCGTTCCAATGTCAGTGTGGTATTAGAGCCCTGGGTATTAGAGCAAATGCACAGTTACACAATGTTTTCACAGAAACCATCAAACATTGCTGAGTGCGCTTTCATGCATAGAACAGATCTCAAGCAATTTGCCTCCCTTCCTCTGTAGTCATGTCTGTCACTGGATACTTTGTCCTGGCCAAAAGACTCTCCATGGTCAGCTGCCTCGTAATGCAGTGCTCCTCCCCTCCCCCTCCTTGACTAGCTGTAATACAGAACAAAAACATTGGAGACAGATCCTCTGTGGGCGTAAATTGGCAGAGCTCCACTGAAGTTAGTTATTGGAATCAGCCAGACTACACCCACAGAAACCGTGGCTGTTATAACTCCTTCCAGCTCACCAAATTCAGCACCTAGCATCCAGAGCTGGTTACGGGCTAGCAGTGAATAATTCATAGCATCAAACATTTATTTATCTCCCCAAAGAGCTTTGTTACAGACTTTATTTTATGGAAGGGATTCCTTAAATCTGCTTATTATTCTTCTAAAATGCATTATTAAAAAATATCAACCTGGAGCAGCTCCTGAAGTCAGCAGGAATGTTAGTTTCTCATAAAGAAAAGCCAAGCTGTTTATGTCCATACTATGCTTTTCCCTCCCCCTAATCACACTCACACACATGGACATGTATAATTCTTTGCAGTGCTATGCCTCAGAACTTGCTGGGAAGGAAAAGATGCGATTGTAAGTAAGGTTCGGGACTTCAGCAGTTTTTGAATAGTCAGAATAATATAGCCAATCTCCATATGATCTGATTACAGAAGGTACATTTATTGAACTAAGCAATTTTGAACATCACACATTTAGCACTGTGTGAAAATATGAATAGGTATAACATGCTCTGTCCTTCACATTTTGTTAGCACCCAGATAAAATGGCAGAATGAATTGTTTTGGTGTTTCTTGGATGAATTTTTTGAATTTCTCGTCTGGAAAATCTGAGTACTTTTTCCCACTTTAGAATAAAAACAAATGTAAGGTCAGTATCCTGTGGCACAGAAATCCCATATTTTGATCAATTCTCCTTATATAACACCAAAGATTTAACGTTGAGTCCAAAAACACACAGAAGCCTGTGGCAAACACTTTAACTTTCCTTGATATTCCATTGCTGACCTCAGCATAGCTGTTCCAAACCGAACTTTAAAAGCTGACTTGAATGTGAAATTGCAGAACAAGGAATCACCTACAAACTAGACTGTGTTAAGTATGGTCTAGACAGGGACTGTAGATTCTTATCCCATTACCAGGCATAGTTTTTGACCTCTCTGTCAGTACGGGTTTATTACCTATTTGCCTCTCCAGCCCTGCTCCTTCCCTCTCTCCTTCTCTTTTGTATTCAAACCACTCTCCACTTGATAGCCTGCTCTCTGATGAAGTGAGCTCTTATTGCCAAAAACAGATGCATTTCTGATTCAGTTACCCTATCAGGTGAGCCTCTCTCCTGCCTTCTACCGTGTTTTCAGCCACTTGAAAGCATATTTCATTTCCTAGGCTGGGTGAAGATATAATTATATTCTTCAAGTTGTAATTCTTGGAACATGTTCCCCCTACAATGTACTTCTTAGACTTACATCATACTTCATAATACAGTAGCAATAGATGTCCCAATGACACTTGGGACCTGTAGATGGGTGGTGTCAAACATATGGCCCATGGGCTGGATCTAGCCTGAAGAACCAGATCATCTAGCCCACAGACTTTGCCCTGCCGGGACTGGGGATCTATCTGTGGTGGTAGCCAAGTACCTGGGAAGAAGAGACAGTGCTGGAGCCAAATCAGCCTTGTGAGAAGAAGTCCGGCACCTCAGTTTGTTCTTGCAGCAGCAGTCAAGCACCCATGCTACCAGGCTTCTTCCCATGGTGCTTCTGGGACTCCAGCACCACAGCTCTCGCTGTTTGACTGCCACCATGGGAACAAGCCACAGTGTTATACAAATAGACTTTTTGCCTATTGCTTTTAATTTTATGTATTTTCTTGAGGTTTGCATTGCCTTAAGAAGCTCCATTTTGTATTGTTCTGTAGCATGACATAAGTGCTCGACCTTTTACTCTTTTGTATGCTGTATGGGTGAGAGTGTGTTTGTGGAAAAGGAAAACATCAGGTTGTGACTGGCTGAAGAATGCAGACAGATAAAAACAAATCAAACAAGAAGAATCCACCCCAGAACAGTGAGAGGACAACGACAATTGACCTTCAAGAAAGAACACAGTGATAACCCAGCAAAATCCCAGAGGACTGGGTGAATTTGCAAGCTATAAAAGATGGGGCGAGACAAATCGATTTTGGGTCTTGTTCTGCATGTCATCCTGGAGCATTGTTTCGTCTGACAGGATGGATTGGCAGGAGTCTGGCTCCTACTCATGATCAACTTGGCTGGCCACTAAGTTGATCCGAGCACCAATAAGACTGGTAACATATACCAGCACAGAACAGAAATTGGGGTATGAATGTGGCGTGTGTGTATTAAGTGCTTAATCAATAAACACGGCATCTTGCCTTATCCTCCCTCATAAGATCTCATTCATGATTTGAACAATTGGCAATTTGTGTAGCAACAGTGCTGCTGGGACTCCAGCACCTCTTTGGCGGCCAAGTATCAGAGCAAAAGCAGCCATACTAGAGCTGCAGCAGCACAGCAGGAAGAAGTCTAGTCCCCAACCAGACTGGCCAGAGTGGGTGCTACATGTATTGGATCCAGCATGCAGGGGTCTGTGGGCCTGATCTAGCCTGTGGACTAGTCCGATGCCGCTCATCTGGCCTGCAGGGCCAAAGAAATTTAACACTTTTGCTGTAGGCCGTGTCTACAGGGGAAATGTACCATATCTGATAGCTGCTCCCAAAAGCATGCTGCACTGCTAAAGCAAGCTGGCTCCTAACCTGGAAGAAGCATAGCCACATCTGCAGCTGATATCCCCTGTCACTTAGCAGTCTTACTTAGCCCACCTGAAGTTGTGCAAAGA